AGGACCTCATCTTCCTATTGCTCTCCACTTTGCGCACAAACACTGGTCCTCCGATTCCATGTTGATGACTGCATTACAAATGCAATTTGAGGGAAAAAACCTCAACACTTCGGCTCCCAGTCACTACACACAATACATACACACACGATGAAATATGAAAACAGACAACTGTAGAATCTGGAAGATATCCTGTGACTGCTGAACTCTACCATCGGTACAGAAGAGCTGTGATGGCTACTCAGCCCTTAACTGAGTAGTGCAGGAATTACACCTGCTGCACCAAGAGGTCAGATACTCAAAAAAATTGTACTGTTTGAGCATGGAGCTTAATAGGACACACCTGTCAAAAATACCCACCCGAATCCCAGAAAATCGCCTCTCAATCATTTATCTTCTGAAGTCCCCTTTACCCTGAGATGCTGACTTAAGCAATGAAAACCGCTGGGGGAAGGCTCCGATTTTCAGCCCTTAGGCTCACAAGCACGATTCCCACACAACCCTCCATGCACGAGGGTTTTCACACACCGGTCCTTGGTGGGATCCAGTAAACATTCCTGGATTACTGAGAGCTGTTCCACTACAGCTGACAGAATTAAATGTGCAATTAGCCCTGCCTCCCTCTCGAACGACAGCCGCATGGCAGTACCTTGCTCAGTCCCTCAAAGGCAGCCTGGCTTAGGAGAAAGCAGAGGCCTACAGAGCAGGTACCATCAAGAGCCACAGGCAAGTCAGAGGCTGCCACTTACATCCAGCTCCCCGATTGCATTCGGTGCTGCCCACATTTCCAGGCCGCCACTATCAGATGTGAGTGTTGTCGCATTCTCTTTTGCTGGCAGAGGCTGCAGTTGACAGTACTCCCCTGTAGCCTCCTGAGGAAAATCTCTGCTCTAAAACTTTTTTGTATTTCCCATTCCCACACTCTACAAAGGCCTCTGCTGGCTGCCTGCCTTACTGCCCCTAAACCCACTGTAATTAGCCAAAATCCTTCTAACCATACCTTTTTCCATGAGCTTTCACACACACACCCTTGGTGTCACTACACCTAGAGTAAGAGAAAGCCGTAATACTACGAACACAGTAAGAAAACCCTGCCAACTCAAGACTGCAAGACTTGAGTAAGTGTTTAATTTCCACCTTCTGCTAAAAAAGTATCTCACTTACCATGACCAAACCTGTGTTGCTTGCTGGCTAGTTTCCAACTGGACTGATCCTTTTTATTAGGAGCTACTACAGGCAGACCAGTCTACGGTAGTAATTTGCACTACATTTTTAAACTGGGTGCAATCCTGAGTACAGTGTCTTTTAACAAAAAGATGCCAAGTCCTTGGCAAAGTTCACATCTTTAAAAACTAGCAGCAGAGGTTTTCCCTGTGGGGAGAGAGCAGGGCTCCTATGGTGTGCAGACACTGCTACCTTCCCTTACCACAGCAAAAACTCGTAGGAGCAATAAGTTCTGATCAAATTCCAGCTTGTGTTTAGTTTACAATGTCAGCTTGATCTCACACCAATGCTATTTTAATTTAACCAGATGGGATAACATCATGTCTCTCTCTCTGTTTCAAACTCCAGGTTAAGAAAGACACTGAACTGTCCTTCTGCAGACCAGACTAAAATCTACCACCCAAAAACTATTCCCAGTTTCTCTGAAGCTGGGACAATGAAAAATCAGCTACTTTCATAGACGTGCCACTGTCTTTAAAGGCTGCAGCTTCTCAGCTCAGGCTGAGATGGATCCAGCACACGCTCTACAGCTGCATTGTGAAAGCTGGACGTGTTCCTTAAACACGTAAAAAGCAGTCCCTGCCCATTGACCTTCCCTGCCTCCACAGTGAAGGTCAGGTTCACATTAAAAAGTTTTGAAACAAGGAAGGGAGAGCAGAGGAAACATAAAAGAACCTGGCACTACAGTGAATTGAGGTTGCTGCGCCTACTGATGGGTAAAACAGTAACCTGCACAGCTTTCCAGTGAAAGCTCAGCAAGTTAGGAATGACTGATCCCAGAGGTAGCACCTCTTGCTACCTCCCCACCTCTGCCCACAACCTTCACAGCTGCTGTCCTTTCTCACAGTCTGCACCTTCTTTTACAACCCTTTGATCCTTTTATGCCATCTGACTGTTAATTGCTGACATGTATCAATCTCACCGTCAGTGCCGCCTAATTAACTCTGCCAGTTTCACCACGTCTCGGCCATGTGATTAATTAGCCCACTGTGCTGCCACATGGCGCACTCGCCTTCATCCGATTCATCAGTGGCGTCTGCTGAGCCCATTATCACTTGCAAAGGTCCTCCCAAGGCCCCGGAGAAGGTCCTAGGGGCACCTGCCTCACCCCT